AAAATATCATAATGCTATGTTTAGTTATAGAATTAGCTGTCTCAAAACAAACAAACAAAAAAAAAAAACAAACAAAAACTCAGCTCAGTTCTGTAAGTTACCTTTAGTAGTTTTCAGAGCAACAGATGTAAACTCTAACACCTTACCTTGGTCTACGAGGACTAAGTATCAGCAACTGCCTATCTGCCCTCCCTCTGTCTTCTTCCACATTCACTTTTGCTCCAGCTCTTGCCAGCCCCCTTTACACCCTAGACTACAGAGCTGGTTTGTGTCTCAAGGCCCCTACATTCACTGTTCCTCCTCCTTGGAACACTCCCTGGGTCTTTCCAAGTCTGCCTCCTTTCCATTGTTCGTATGGAACTGATACTCAGTGTGACTTCTCCTGTTGTCTGGGAATTCCCGCTAAAGCCCGGAGGTGAGGACAAAGAAGTTGTAAGCATGCCACCTTCTTACAAGAGCTGCCCGGTCATGGCATCAGATTCTCCTCCTAGAGCCTACCTGAGTCCACTCTGCCTGTGCATGGCTGACCAGAAGTACAGGAATTGAACGCAGCACCCCTCTCCTCCCCTGATTTTAATGACTGACGAGAGTTGGTGTACAAATGCCACAGTTCCCTCATCCCTCTGGTTGGAAACTCTGAGGTGCCAGACTACACTGGTCCCAGTGATCTGAAGAGGAGAGTATAATCTAGTCATCCACAGTGGTGATTCGTTGTCCACTTTAAAACCTGCCTTTACTTCCCTGCCTCACTTCCCAGTCCCCCCGCTGGTGCTTCCCGGGATTATCTCCAACCAGGAGATCTGCCTGAGGGTGGGAGCAGCAAAAGGGTAAGGCAGGAGCCAGAACACGTCTCAGAGGAAGACCAGGACGTGCAGCAGAGCAAGGGTTCCCCAAGGCATTTGAAAATATTTTAACATTTTCAAAAGATCAAAGTAGTCGTTATGGCAATATCCTGACTCTGCTGAACTTCCTAGCACCTACTCAATGGTTTATTGCTGTTGTTAATTATTGCTACTAAGCAGGCACTCAGCCAATGTGTGCTGAATGAATGGGTAATTAAGTGAGTCCTGGGCCAATTGCTGAATGGGGATACCTCCACTGAGAAAAGAACCAGGAAGGGAACTAGCAGTTAGCGTAATGGCTATGTCACGTGGACTCCCACGTAGTCGACAGCAGTTCACGTCCCAGACCGGGTGGCTTAAAACTCACGCCGGGCGCGTGTGTGTGCATGCCCAAGATCCCGAGAGGAGAATGGAGGAGAATGGATTGTGGCATGACCATCCCCCCTGGGGGGTGATTTCTCACTTTCTGTCTCTCTGTCTGTCTCTGTCTGTCTGGCGAGCGCATGCACCCTATAGCGAAAATCTCTCCCCCGCCCCCCCAAAAAAAGAACCAGGAAGAAGGAGCAAGTCTGGAAGAAGACAGGTAGACAATTTCCTCCCACCAACATAGCAGATGAGAGGGTGCTCTGGGTCCTTCCGGGAACTCCAAGTCTCAGGGGGATAAGCAGATTATTTAACAGTTCTTGTAGCACATGTTCCTGTCAATCAGAAGGAATCCAGCCTTAGTGTTGGAGTTGAGTCCTGGAACCCCTACTGAGCCAGATAATAACATTTTAGTTGTTGGATTATGGGGAGGAGGAGCAGAGGGGCAGGGTAGCCAGCGTACTCTGTAGCTTGGGAAAGTGGGTATTCACCAAGCAGGAAGAATAGTACCGGCGTGTGCACACTGAATCACAGACCTGGGCTTGGAGAGGAACAAACCAGGCAGACTGAAGACTCAGTCTAGCAAGGCTGGGAAAAGGACCCCCCCACCACCCACCCACCAGTCCCCAGCTCCTGAGAGATACCTGGGGTAGGCTGAGGATAGTGAACACTGACTGGGTGCTTACTTGGGACCAGAACCCCATTCCTACTGCTTCCAACAAATTAACTCGAGGACAGGAGTCTCTATTACTATCTTTATTTTACAGATGAAGAAGTGAGCTGCAGGGAAAGGTTGACTGTAGGGGATTCTTTTCAGGAAATTCCTGGTAACCTACCTATGAGTATGTGGCTAGGCAAAACTCAACCACCATGTAAGTTGGACACAAGGTGGGAGGCAAGAAGGGACAATCAGGCAGTGTCTATCGAGGACCTTGCAGAGACTCAGTGGTGTCTTGGTCAAGGAGTAACCAAGAAGGTACTGCTCCAGCTGCTAGGTTAGACAGGTAGATAAGGATGGTACACTTACACTTGCTTGTCTCACCGGGTAGGGTTTCCAAGGAGTTGGGTGGGGGAGGGGCAGAGGAAGATAAACGTAAGATCTGAAATGTTCTGTGGCCTTAGGATGAGCTAATGGAGGGTCAACCAGTGGTGGGGTGGTTGAGGCAGCTGGATTCCACATACCCAAATGAGGAGTTCAAGTCCTGGACCCAGCGGTTTGAAAAACACACTGGTATGCGTGCATACATGCCCCAAATCCCAAAAGAGATGAGAAATGAAGAAGGGATTGCAGTGTGACTATCCCCTATGGAATATTTTTCTCACTTTTACATTCTCTGTCTCTCTCTAGCGAGCACATGCACCCACAGCAAAATTAAAAAACAAACAAACAAACAACAAAACCAGCTTGGCATATTTAAAAAGTAAGGGCATCATTTGTCTTTGTACTGCCAAACTCAAACATAGGCCTATCTACAAAATTATTATTCAAGAAATATTCTGGAGGAATTAATGAATAAACAAATTATCTGCTTGATAGTGATCAGCTCAAACGTTGGATCTGCTCCCATCTCTCTTTCCTAAAGTCCTTCCAATGTGCCAACAAGTTGTAGGATGACATCTAAGAGCCTTACCCCAGAATTCAAGTCTGGCATGATATCACCTCTGCCTACCATTGTACCACAGCCTCCCCACACTCAGCCCTTCCCTGCAACTGTGTGTGATAGAATCTTCTTTTTTGGTCCTCAACATTCGTTCTGTGTTCCTGTTTTCTGGTCAATGCAAACCCCAGTGCATTGGGTGGAAGAATTGTTCCTTGTGAACGACTCATCTCTGGGGAGGCTGCCAAACACAGCCATGGGCACACAACACGCACAGGACCAATCGGAGTCCTTTAAAGGAATTAATACGATCCCAGAGGGGAAGGAAAGTCTTCTTTCTCCTCTGTGGTCTTCTCTGGGGTGGCAGAATCATATAAGCCTGGAGCTGTCTCTAATTACCCCTGCCACATGAAGAAGTCTTATCCTCAGTTGGAGGAAGGAGCCACATACAGAGAAAAGCAGGAGGCAGGACAGACACAGGCAATCTCTCTCTCTCACACACACAGAAAACAAACTAAGTAACCACATCGCCATGTTGCTTGTGTCTCTGTACCCCTCGTTTCTCATTTTCATGAGCCAATACCTTCTCCTTTTTTTTTTTTTTTTTGGCTTGTTAATTTGTATTAAGCTTTCTTTACCAACTAATACAGTGTCTTGACTAATGCTCAGCTGTTGCGGATGGCCAGCCATACCCAGAATTCCATGCTGCATCCTGTTTACACCTCTTATAGGTTCAAGTGACAGAAGTCACATAAAATCCAAAGGACTCAAGAAATTTGAGGTGGCTCCTGTGGCCTATTCTCCTTGTTCCCTCAGTTCTTCTCCAAGAATCACGTGGCCACGTCCTGGCTGGCAGGGGGAATTCCCTTGACCTTCTCCTCCATGCTGTTTGTCCCCACCTCCCATACCTTTTCAGTCCTTTTCTTTGTGCCCTCCAGAACCTGCCTCCTCCTGAGTCTGGCTCCTGACATGGGCTGGCAGCGTTTCTGTCCTGGTTGTGGTCCCAGATACGGGGTTTCAAATGTTGCATGCTTCAAACCTTGAAGGTCTGCAACAGGGACCCTGGACAATCTAGTGCTGCACAGATCACATACTCCTGGCAAAGCTTCCCTCCCTTACTAGGCCTGAGAGTGCTAGCGTGCTTCCAGCCCTCGGGCACATTCCAGACTTCAGGCATCAGTTGAATGGAGGCTAAGAGACCCTTCAGTCATGGTTTCAGCTGTGTGACAGGATTCAGAGGCTAAGCCCAGCAGGTATATAAATAGGGAGATATGAGAAAAAGCAGGCAGTTCAATGGAGGATGTCACAGATGCGATGGTCGTTGGCAGAAGGGCCAGGCTAGATCTAGAGTGAGATGGGTCAGGCCATAAACAGCACAGCCTGCATAGATGTCTATGTGGTTTTTCTAAGTGACCATGAGGACGCCAAGCTGGTGGCCATTGGGATGTGACAAGAAAACTCACATGGGGACTGATGGGTCTTCAGTGAAGAGTCTTACGTGCCAGGCCCACTTTCTGGAATGGCTGGTTCTTCCTCCTTTAGTGCATGTAGAGAACTGCGAGGCAAGGGCAGGGACCCAACTCTTTGCTGGCATTAACAACAGATATCTCTTCCTCTGGGGTCCTACCCAAACCCCAATCCCACCCTGCCTTCTGTGGTCCAGGGCCGGGGTGTGCTCTAGCCAAAACAAGCAGCATCTGCACTTCAGGACCTCAAGAGCCTCCTTCCCCCTGGCCCAGTGGTTCTTGCCTATGCCAAGCACCCCCAGGCTCACCACTCAGTCTCAACAGCCCGCCTCTGGAGTGGGCCAGCCTCTGTGTCTTCATTCCGTAATGCACTAGAGAGTTCCACCACTTTTCCACTTACGAAGCCCCTAAGGGCTGCTTTTTTTTCTTCCTCAATTTCCTTCCTACTTCAAAAACTATGAGGGAAATTTCACTCTGTTGAGTTTTTGGGCCAGCCCAGCTGAATGAGAGGAAACATCCCAGCATGCCTCTTGCCTAGTGATTATATCTCTCCTACAGGGCCAAACCAAGAGCCAGAAAGTTGCATACTTGGAGCCGGGAGAAAGCAAAGAGGCAAACTGCGAAGTGGTTCCTTAGAAAGTCTTGGACACTGGAGCGAGATAGACCCTGAGTCTGTAGAGACGGAAACACTCACCTTGCAGTGTCGTTATGAAAAATGAATGCGACATAAAATAAGTTCGATGTTTAATAACTGGGAACTGATATAATGCTTGTCTTATCCAAACCTCGAGAGACAGAGCGACTTGCTCAGTCATGCACTGAGACAGTGGTAGAATCCCATGCTGGGGCTCCTGTCCCCCCTTCACTGTCCCAACCAAGTGGGAGACAATGGGCAGGAACAGATGAGCATGATGGGAAAGCCCTTCAGTTCTGTGGTCATGGCCTGATGGCAAGCAGCAGTGACAAGCCGATGAACCCGCCCCAGGTTGCCTTCCACTTCAGTGGTGGAAAATAAAGGAAGTAGGGGAAAAGTCAAGCAGAAGAAAGCACCCGGAAAAGATGTTTTTATGTTCACTTACATGGAAAAAAAAAATAAAAGAATACAGCATGAAGGTATATGTTCCTCCAAAAATTCCTCCTAGGAACCTGTTTGTTCCAGTCGCATTTATAAATCAAGAAATGCCAAACAGAAGTCATAACATCGGGGGGTGGTGGGGGAGGGATGAGGGAGACATCGAGGGCAACATAGTAATTGTGTGCCATTGCTTTTCTAGTTTCTGATCATTTGCAGTTTCCACTTTTCCAGCAAGTCAGAGTTCTATAAACGGATGTTGCACTACAATATGATTGCATAAAAATATAAAACTCCTAAAGCACGAGGGCCATAGTATTTTAGGGAATAAACAGTAAAGTCTGAACATAACAGAAAACACCAATAGGATCATCTGAGCAGTTCTGTTTCTGATGCGCAGCAGTTGCTAATGACACATGTATGTGAAAGGATGAAGAAGCTGATCTGTGTATAACTTAGACGGGGGTAATGTTTCTGAACACCGACTTTGTGAGAAAACATGTAGGACATCTTACACTCCGCAACATGGTGAAAAGGGAGAAATTGCCTTCTGAGGGCCACAGCGGGCAACACGCCCACTTTATTTTCCACTTGCCCTATGCTGGGACGTGTTCACACTGCGTGGGGTCTCTTGCGGGATCTAGCACCAGTATCTGGATCAGATTTTGTCTTTGATCCAAGTCCTTTCTGTCTTCAGTTTTGAGTGTATTGAGGTATGTTTCTTTGGTTGCTGATGTGACTAGTGTGTAATTTTTTTAAAAAATGTAATATTTACAACATTTAAACATTTTAGATTTCAGTGTCAACTCTTCACATAAGAAAAATCGGGAAACTCTTTCGAATCATCGGAAGGTCATTACTTCCTAGCGTCTGTCATGAAACTGTTTTCGATACACAGAACAATTAGCCTATTAGCACAGCTGTATGCTTTCTGGTCCAGAATCTTCCCTGTGCTCAGTGGGGAAGCAAATCCCGTGACTGCCATGTCCGCAGTTCGCCACGCTTCACAGTACTTATCCACGAGACGGACGCCATGGGTGCTGGAGCCGTGCCAGACGACCTTCTGGGGCCTACAAGGTAATTTTATCATGTTACTTAAGGAAACATTTTGAAAGTTTATTTATAACAGAGAGCATGTGTGTATGTGTGCAAAAGAGAGAGAGAAGACCCCTCGATAGGATCTTGTCATGTCACAGTCCCCATTCCTTGGCTCTCCAGCTCGTCAGGGTCTTGGGCATGCACACACACGCCCAGCATGTTTTCAAGCCCTGGGAATCCAAAACAAGGGTCTACCACGTGCCTTCCAGGATTACAGGTCAGTTTGCCACCGACGGTGCCAGCAGCCTGGACCTTCTGTTATGTTTTGAATGACAGTTATTTGTGGTGTGTCTTGGTAAGCAGACTGATATAAGTCTAGCGAATCGGGTCAAACTCTTTATTTAACTCTCTGTGGCCTGAGGCTGAATCACCCCTCCAGCCTCATTGCTCTGTCCAACTTTCTAGGTGTGTTCTATTCCAGCCATACCCAACTAGTCGTTTTCCAAAACAGACTCTGCTTTTGTGAATCCGAGCCTTTGCTCATGGGGTCCCTTCATCTGGAGTAGCTTCCCTTTAGTTCTCAGATCAGTGATACCCTTCTTGTCTTTCAGAAGTAATAAATGCCTCCTCATGCAGGAAGCCCTCTCCAATTCTCACCCCTACATAAAAACGAATATTTCCTCTATGCTCTTATCTGTTTCTACATTTTATCAGCCCAGTAGTCTGCCTAGAGTCACATTTAGTCTGTGCCTCCCCTGCCCTGTAGACCGTAGTCCCTGTTGTGTGTGCCTTCTGGGCCTAGCATTGGGCCTGGAATAGGGTAGATACTGAGGAAAGGTTTGCTGAGTTGTTCTATTCTGGAAAAATCACACGGTTCTCAAAGATTTCAAGTGCGGCTCACAGTGGAGCATTACGGCATTACCAGGAAAAGCATCATTTGCCGCTTATTAAGTGCCCACTGCATGCATATGTTTTCACACATACTCAGTTTTAATCGTATAACAATCCTAGGGGATAGACATGACTGTCTTCCCCATTGGCTAGATAAAGCAGCTGAGGCTCCGAGAACAGAGTCCTTGCCCAGTTGAGCTACTGAATTTGGGTCTCTGGCTCCAAGGCCAAAGCTGTCTCCACAGTCTTCAGTTGCCTCAGGGTAGGTCTGTGTTGGCAACATCCCAGAGGGGCAGCTGATAAAGGCATCCCATTGTCAGCGGGCCTCCTAAAACTGCCTGTCCTACCACAGCAGAGGGCTTCCACCCGGACTCACCAGGAGGGATCCGTCATTACGTCTCGACCATCAAAGGAGTATATTGGAACATGCGTATTGAACTGACCTCCGTGGCCAGAAAAAATCGCGTCCCAGTTATTAAAAAGCACTTGGCCCTGCGAAGACAAAATGCCACATTAGAATCACTATCCCCTGGGCCTGCAGATAGACTAGATTTTGACTCAAAATTCTTTAAGGCCCAAATGCCACCTTGCCTTAAAGACCCCATCCCAATCGCAGAGCCTAGGCAGTGCAGGACCTTGAGAAATGTTTGTGGTTTGATTTTATACTTCCTCCTGAACCATTTTAGTTTTCCTGTTTTATTTCTTATGGAAATTCCTTTTATTACAGGTGCAAAGTGTGCTTTATACTTTCAATATTATTTTTTAAAATAATTATTTTATTTAACTTTATTTTTAACTTTATTTTTAATTAGATCAGAGAGGGACAGAACGAGAGAGAGAGGGAAAGTGAGAAAGTATGTTACCAGGTCTGGGACTCAAACTGTGGTCGGCCTTGTGGGGGCCCAGTGCCTCTAACCACCACACTACCTGCTGGCGCCTTTATTATCATTTTTAAAATTGTATACATATGCACTAAACATCAAGGTTGCGCCTAGCTTTGTGCCAATCTATACTGGGGGTAATACTGAGATGAATTTCTTAGTCTTTTTCTGAAAGCACTTAGTGTCTTGTGGAGAGATCCAAGAACATACATAATTGTAGTAGGTGAAGGTGGAACGGTGGGACAGAGCCCTAGGAGAAGAGGCAGGACGCGCTGGACTCAGAAAGGAACTCACCGACCTCAAGGTTCCAAGCTAGTACTGGAGTCACAGGGACCAAAGGTCTCAAAGTCCCTTGAGATCTAGTCAGTCATCAGGACGTGTCTGAGCAGCAAATGTAGCTGTCCCACCACAGCCTCAAAGGACTCGGCTATGTCCATGGTATAAACAAGGGGTCCTCTGAGGCCCTGCCTTACCAGCAAAAGGGGCAGCAAAATATCTGTCATCTCTGAGCTGAGATGCTCAGAGAGCACCAGACTGTCTCTGCCAGAGTTCCCTGCTACGGCCTGGTGCTACTTGGCTGATGCCCCCCTGAAGGCATCCTCTGGTGGAACCAGGAGCCCCAGCTGCAGGAGTTAAGGACATCAGTTCTAGTTTGTTGTGACTTCAGGCAAACTGCCTTCTTCCTCAGTTTTCTCATCTGGCAAATTGAAAAGAGAGTAATTTCCATTTTTTTTTAATTGGAAATAACTATTAAGCAATAAAGTGGTTTATAAACAATCAAAAAGCTACATAAACCAAAGAGGTTATTATTATCCCTCTTGTCTACCTACCCCGAGTGACCTAGACCATCTGAGCAGGAAGGGCTACTTAAATATGAGAAAACTGAGGTCCAGAGAGGGAATGTGACCTGCCCAAAGCCACACAGCCAATCAGGGAGAGACCGAGGCCTGGCCAGCACTTTTTTTTTTTAAATTCATTCGGGATAGAGAGTGCATGTATATGTGCAAACGAGAGAAGGGAGGGGGGGAGAGAGAGAGAGAGGGAGAGAGAGAGGGGAGAGAGAGAGAGAGGGAGAGAGAGAGAGAGACAGAGAAGGGCACCCCTGCTTGACAGGGTCTGGTCATGCTGAGATCCCCTTCCCTCAGCCCTCTAGCTTGTTAGGATCTCCACGTCAGGGATCAGAGCCCATGGTCAGCCATGTGGCCTCCACCACCACAATCCAGCACGCTAAGGACAGTGCCACCCAGGCTGGGCCCACTCTTGTTGTAGTCGCAGGATGGCACTACCTCAGTCCCTGTGGAGACAATGGAGACAACATGCATTCTTACCCTGAGGTTCACTATCGGGAGGGTGTATCTCTCTGCTTTCCTCACAATTGTAGAGAGGTCTTGTAAATGGGAAGACAAAAACGCTCGGTAGGTAGACAGCAGTCCTGCAGCCCTGGCCTGCTGGAAGCACTGGAAATCAGCTCGGATGTCCCCAGAAAATGGTGCATTCAGAGCCACCAAGTGCAGCTGAAAAAAATAAGTGAGAGAAAGGACGTGCACTTAGGGCAAGCACAGGCACTCACCCCGTAGCCATCTCACGTGCCCCAGAAGATCTCGGACTTCAGATGGAAGGCTCGTCAGACATCTCACGTGCCCCAGAAGATCTCGGACTTCTTCAGATGGAAGGCTCGTCAGGGGCCTCTTATTCAACCTCGGCCTGACGTGTGAAAGAATTTCAGTCTCAGCTGGGCCATCTCCAGGGGTGGGGAGCTGGGGTCTCTGCTCAGCAATCTGAACAGCTCTAAGAGGTGGAAATTTCTTTCTTAAATAAGAACAACAACAGTGCTAGGACCAAGTAAAGTGCTTCGGAGACCTAAGTCCAGCCAGCGGGCCATATGTCGGAGTCTTCCAGGCCTGCCCAAGCTCCAGTTCAGACAGGGGTTTTGAGCCAGTTTGGTCCTGGGTCCCAGAGCTTCACTGAGCCATCTGCTTGTGGCCCTTTCTTCTGTCTCAGGAGTAGGCCAGGGGTTGCTCACACAAGGAGCCAGGACCAAAGGCATTGAAAGGAAAAGGACGATGCTCCTTACTAACAGTGCTAGGATAGATCCCTCTAGAAACTGGGGCCTCCAGTAATTCCAGCTGTACATCCCTGCCATGTTGGGCAGCAGCCCAAATCGAAGCCAGTCCAGTCTGTTTTTTCCCGAATTGTTGCTCCCCAAACTCAGCCTCCTTCTACTGCCCTCTCTCCCAGCCCTTTCTGCCATACCTTCTGGAGTCTATCCCCAAATTGGGTATACTCATCTCCCCTCTTCAGTCTCTTCTCAGGAGTAACTTCAATCTCGTCATTATAGAGCTGGGGAGGCCTGGTGCAGGATGGGGCACAAGAGGCCATAAAAGGACACTTTTTAAAATACCTTAAGCCAAGCCCAAGGACAGAAAGTGAGCCCTGGTGGTGAGGCAGGTGGTGGTCTGTGCTTCTCTCAGATCCAAACGAAGCTCTGCGGGCCGGCACTCAGTGTCTTGCACGTCAGCAGCCTGACCCTGGGCTACGATGACTGGACTGCCGCGCTAGCCCTTGCACTTCCCTAGACATTCTTCCCCATTCACTGCCCCCCTCCTGCCCATTCTGCAGGGGACAGACTCGGCCTGCCGCCTCCCCTTATTCTCTCTCTTTTTACTCACCCCTAGGTCTGCTTTTATCACCATGCTCAAGTCTGAGGTCCAGGTCACACAGCAAGCTCCCACAGCCCCCACCCTGCTCCCCACTGAGATAAGGCTTCTTCGAAAAGCCTCCCAGTATCAGCACTGAACATTTTACATTCCCATCCGGGGTGGATAGGGGGAGGTGGTGCACTGCTCACTCACGAGCCATGACCATGTCTAGTCCCCCCACTCACACACACACACACACACACACACACACGCACATGCTCTGCCCTACTGATGCTCTTACCATCTGGCTATACTGCCCCACCCCCATCTTCCTCCTTCTCATGTACCTGGTGACACCAGCACCCAAGGGAAGGGCCCTTTGGTCTTGTCATCCCCCCGGCCAGCAATCTACTGGGGTGCATCAAAGGGCCTCCGCAAGAGGCTTTGATGGAATGAGGACTCTCCAAGAGCAGTGGCCGGCCGCCTGAGAAAGATGTAGTGGCAAGGCCAGGGCTTCTTTTTTAAGGAGACACACAGAAATGTCCATGTTATGGTTTCTGAATGGCGAGATTGGGGGCTTTTGTGCTCTCATATTTGTATTTCTTTAATCATTATAAAAAATATGTAACACTTTTATGAAGACAATAATGCTATAACAATCAAAATGTTAAAATAGCTATTTTGTGGGTGGCTGTAGTTTTGATAAAGTTACATGTGATTTGCTATTCTTCATGCTTTTTTATGTAGCATCAAAATTTTCTACAATGACTATGCATTTTTTTAAGAGTGATTTTTTGCTATAAGGTGCATGTGCTCACCAGAGAGACAGAGAGACAGAAAGTGAGAAATCACCCCCTCAGGGGGTTGGCCATGCCACAACCCCTTCTCCTTCATTCTCCTCTCAGGATTTTGCACACAAATGCACTAGCATGAGCTTAAAGTCGTGGGGCCAGGACTGGAACCGTGGTCGACTATGTGGGAGTCCAACAACTCAACAATTATGCCATCTGATGGTCCCAACTATGCATTACTTTTGAATGTACAAAATACTATTACAAATTCCTTTAGCAGGGCCTCCAGGTGGTGTAGTGGTTAAGGTGCTGGACTCCCACTTAGCTCACAGTGTTTCGAGTCCTGGACCTGGTGGCTTGAAACTCATGCCTGGTGCATGTGTGTATGTACCCAAAATCCCATGAGGAGAATGGAGGAGAAGGGACTGCAGCATGGTCACCACCTCCAGGGGATGATTTTTCGCTTTCTTTCTGTCTCTCCAGTAAATGCATGCACCCTATGGCAAAAATCTCTCTTTAAAAAAAAAAAAAAAATCCTTTAGCTACTGCCCTAGGTTGAGGCTTTGGGGAAGGGTTACCTATACTTACTTCTTCTTGGCTCACCTCCCACTTACTCCTCAACCAACTACAATCTTGTTGACAGACACTGAAATATTTTGCTCTAGTTTCTGAATTTGAAGGGCATCTTTTCGTTCTTTTTATGAACTCTTCGCAGCCTTTGGTACTGTTGGCTACCGCTTTGCTTAGAGGGCGTTCTTTCTTCCTCTCTGGCTTCATATCCTATTTCCTCCTGGTGGTCTCCACTCAAGTGTCCTACAGGCATCTTACACCCACCATTTTCCAAATAAGCTCCTCCTTGGTGAATGGCAGTGTCATGGGAAACATATCTGGTGTCTTTCAAGCCTAGACCTTGCTCTCTAAAAATAGCCTTGCAATCTTTGCTGAAAGAAGTAGCCTTAGACCTTCTACCTGATTCTGCTGGCTACTACTCTTGACCGAACCAGGAATGGGCAACTGACTCAAGATAAAGCATATAGGATCCGGCAGGTGGCATGGTGGTTAAAGGTACTGAACTCGGCGAGTTGACCTGACCACCGTTCAGGTTCCAGACCTGATGGCTTGCTTTCTCACTTTCCATCTATCTCTCTCACTCTGTCTCTGTCTGGTCAGATACAAAAACTAATAAAAATAATGATGAATAAAAATTAAATAAAATAATTCTAAAAGAAACAAAAAAGAGCATATAGACTGTCTCTTCCCAAACTGAATTGAGCAGGTAGTACTGAGCTCTGCAGCTGTTAGAATTGTGGCCCAAATCAGTGTATGGCAACCCACAGCTGTGGGAAAGCTCACGTAACCTATGTCTGTGTGTGGGGTTGGGGTGAAGGGGGAGGCACCCCTGCAGAGGGTGGTCTTGTGGAGGTAATAAAGTAGACTACTCGTGGGAACAAGAGTTGCCAAACCAGTTGCATATCCTCTGATGGAGGGCCATGAGGTTCTCATCATGATCTGCACAAAATCTTCACTTAACACTAACAAAGAGTGAAAGTTTTCAATCCCAGCAATAAAATGATCCCTAGAAGGGAAATCATGACCTCTCTGCTAACCATGCTTCATTCCTGCTCTGTCTCATCCTTACCACCCCATAGCCCATCAATGACTGAGGTAGTCACTTGGCATCCTTGATGTCTCTCTAAGCCGCCTACTTTTCTCTAAGTTCACTGCTTATGATCCTAGTTCAGATACTACTGGAGCTACCTAACTGGTCTTTGGACTACCTGGTCCTGGCCCCTCCAACACATATGTCCTCTGTAATCATGGCAATTTCTGAAATACCCATTTCCTCTTCAGAAACTCTCCATCGCCTGCAGGAAAAGGTCAAAATCCTTAGCTTGGCTCACAGGCCCCTGATGGCTAATCCTTACCCTTACTGATCTCTGCAGACTGACCTTCTCCTTTTTCTGCCTTGAGCTCTTCTCCTTGGGCCAGACTGAAATACTTGCAATTACAGGAACTGTGCTTTCCCTGGCCTACCTCTATTCCATCGTCCCTCTATCTGGAATTCCCATCCACTTTTTCCCACTGGGCTCACTCTTGAACTCAACTGTCCTTTAGGTCTTGGAATGGACGTCACCTCCTCCAGGCAGACGTCTTTGACCTTCCTTGGACTCCAGCACCTTGTGTTTGCCTCACTCGAACAACTTACCACGCTGTACTGTAACTGTCTAATTTTGTTTGTCTCTCTCACTAGCCTGCATTTTGAATGCCTGGGGCCTAGCATGTGGCAGACACACACATTCAGTGTCTGCAGAATACAGCATGAATTATACTTACGGCAGGCTTCTCGTAATTGGCACTTGAAATAGGGTTCAGTGGAGGCAGAGGCTGATATGGCTGTTATGTAAAAGAAGAAAAGAAACAGTTCTAAATATGCACTCAGTCTGCTCTGCAGAGTACACTGAGGTGCAAGGGCAATGTTTCTTCAGGTACTTTAAATAGTGTGTCATTGTCTTTAGCTGTGACTCTTAACTGTGAAGAGTTTCATGCTCAAATGGAAATGTCATCCTTAGACAGGGAGGGGATATTCTCAAGACTTTGAAAAAGAGCACTGAGCCAAGGAAGCAGTAGACCCGTATTTAATAGCCAACTTGCCTACTTAATAAGCCAAGTCACTGCTTCAAAGCTTTAGTTTCCTTATCTGCAAAATGGGGGTGGTAGAGGGTTGCCATAGGGCTAAATGGTGAATACTATCAGCTGCTCATAATCTCACAGGGCAGAGAGTGCCAAAAGTTAAAAGATTCTTCTAGATTGCTTATGCCAATCAGTAATCTCATAAAAGAATCAACTAAGGTCAAGTCTCTTCTTCCGGAGAGTCCAGCTACTACATGGGAATGGTGGGTCTCCAGCCACTGGGTCCAGTTCTCCCTTCACTATTGTGAGACTGTTCCATTGCACCAGCAACTTCTGGGTTTCTACCGAGTTAAACTACACAGACGTGGCCATCCAGGGTTTGGAGAGTGTGGGGCTGGAGAGCAGGAGGGAGTTGGGAAATGCTGGTAAAGCAGCAGCTAGCAGCAAGGCAGGGAAACTACTCACGTTGCTGGCAAGTGCTGGGGGTGGTGGGCTGTCGGCAGGAATGGGAATCAGCTCGCCCAGCTTTAAGAAAAACGGCACATTAAAAAGAAACATCAGTAAGAAAGTACCTGTTTTCTAAACAGAAAAATGGCATTTACGGGAGTAGATTGTTATTTTTAGAAGGTATGTGGAGGTAGTCTGTTAAAGAAAGTTTAGGAATTACCTGTAATTTTTTCCAGCCATCTCTGACGCGAAGAAAAAACTCAGCGCTGTCCCGCAGGTAGATGAATGTTCCTTCTATAACCAAATGTGCTTTCTGCAGCATGTCACCCATGTCGCTGAACGCTGTCACCTGCCAGATCATTTTAAATCCCCAACACAACATCACTGTTACCCTTTGAGCAGTGGCACCATCTCATACACTGGCTTCTTGCAAAGTCCTACAGGGGCCTTCCCTTCATAGTCAATGAAAAGCCTTACGGAACCACGTCGAGATAGAGAACATCATTCATTTTGATAAAACAAAAACATGCACTACTTTGAAACACAAATCGAAATGATAATAAATGAATTTAAAGAAGATAATATTCTGTGAGTACAAAGACATTTCAAAACTGTCAACAGTTCTTGGTGGGTTTGGGGATTAGCAAAATCATCGGTAAGGTCTGCCACTTCCACTTTTCCAAGCTGGTTGGTGGCACTAGCATCAGCTAAGCAGTGTTACCTCATGCTGCTCCTTAAAGAATTTCAAATTTATTTTTATTTGGAATAAGAAATGCAAGCAAGTGAGTAACTATACTTAGGTCTTAAATCTTTTTTGCCTAGCTGGGTATTAAATACAGAATAGAACATGAGGGCCAGTAATTTCTCTGTGTAGAAAACTGCCAAAGATTAGACAGCCATTTGGCATATCTCAGAACAGATTTAGAAGCTGCAAAAAAAAAAAAAAATCTATTGAGTAGCATCAAGTCTCAAAGAAATATCAGCCCAGAGAGTTATTTTTCATTTTCACTGAGAAAGATCATAAAAAATTAATTTTCACCACGACTTGAAGATAATGACTTTGTACATCAAAATGGCTTAAAAATCCCCCAGAGGAGTCAAATAGCAAAAGTCTGTCCTCCAATGGGCAGTTCTTTCATTTGGCAGCCAAGTTTTCTAACTAAAATCTGGCAAAGATCAAAAAGCATTCTTAGAACTCCTGACATCGTTGAGAAGCATTTTTCCATCTTGCTATGCATTATAATAATCTTGGTTACTATACCTTGCTCCCACAAGCTGCAGAGTATAGAGAAGGGACAGCCTTTGGCATGATAGAGGTGGCTGAATTAACCAGGGTAAATCTGGCTAGCACAAGGACCACATCGTTTACACTCTTGGGCTTAAGTGTTTTGATAGACTATGATTCGTTCTTACGATAGCTTAGTAAGTTAAGGATACCAAGATCGAACCTTAAATAAGAGATGTCTTAATATCTTTTTGCCCAGTAAGTCATCTGAAGAGATAAGAAATACCCTCTACTGTTTGTGGAATTACGCTAATTCTATGTCACAGAGGCCTAATTTCAAAATAAAAAAGGTGCCAGCTCCTAAAGACAGTAGCCAGAGTTTTAAGTCAATATATCTAAAGTGGAATGATGACTATACGTTGATAATGATACTGACCAAGTTTCGAGATCCAGGAAGCCCTGGTTGTCCTGGTGGGCCAGGTGGGCCTGGAAGAGCCACAGCTAAGACCAAGAAGAAAAGAGGAGTTACCAAAAAACACCCTCTCTGAAAAATGCCTTGGGTGCCAGCTGACGTCTGAGAGATGTGTTCACAGCCCCACTTACAGTGCCGCAAGCAATCCTACCCCTCAACTGCATCTTGGGTGCTCTGAACTCAGCATGTGACGCGGGCCACAATGACAGGTTTGGGGATGACCTGGGATTCTTGATTATCACCTTGAATCAGGACATGCCTGGGACTTTTCAGTCTTATAAGTGAACACATTTCTTATGTTGTTGTTTGTAAAGGTTGGTCTCAGTTGAATTTTCTGTCACATTTGCATCCAAAAATATCTTACAACTGACTTCACCCAAGAGACAAGCATGTGACCAGTGAACAGAGGAAGCAGGCTGAGAAAGAGGAAGAGAAGGTGCCAGGCTGAGGAAGGAGGCTGGGGCAGTGCAGGAACAGCTGCCCTGGCCTTGCGGCCAAGAGACGGGACTCAATCCCTGGTTTGTCAATTCCCTGCTGTGTCATCTTGGGGAAACTGCAAGCTCCCTGAACTAATTTCCTCATCTTCAAAGTAAGATAGAGAGATATTTCTCCTTTACTGTGCTGTGCTCAACACTGAATAAAATACAAACCAGGGATGTGTTTTATAAATTGTACAGCATTAAACCAGGGGTTCTTAGCTTTTGAACAGTCATAGTCCCCTTAAAACTCAGAACAAGGCTGTTGCCCTCTCCCCCCCAAATACACACACATATAATTCTACAAAAACAAAACAAAACAAAACAAACAAACAAACAAAAACAACGGGAGTGACAGACCCCTGCAGCACCTGCTTGATCTCTGTGGGAGTCAGTCCTTACTGTTCTTACTTCAGGTGAACGCAAAGGTGGGTTATTATAGCTATCCCTTTGCCTTCCTTCTCTCTAATCCTCAATCTCTTCCAAATCCCTCAAAGCTCTTGGCGGAGTTAAGGATGTTTTTAACAAGTCTCAGTAAGATTACACAGTGGGATTCACAGGTCATCACAAGCAAGTCTTCAGTTCTAACACAGGACATGAAAATCCACACATGGGTGGTAAATGTCAAGTGGACAGGTTAGAGGACTTAGGCTATGTTCCCAGACATGCCTCCTACTAGTATTTGTAACTTTCAGCAAGTCTCTTAACCTCTCTGAGCCTCTTCATCTGTGAAGTGAGTTTTATAATAATATCCCATTTCATCCCCTCCTAGGATTGCCGAGAAGATTAAATGGGATAATGGCTATGGAAGTGTTTTGTAAGCTGTGAGTTGCCATACATCATGTGACGGGTGACCTTTGTACAATGAAATAAGGTGTCCTGGGGTCCCCTGCTATGGACAACAAATTCTCAGTATCCTATATTTACCAAGCAATGTGTCTTCATCTCCAGCAACTTCCACTTATCCTTCAGGATTGTGTGGGCACCTCTGGTTTTATCTACCCAGAACCTTGTTTCTTTCTTTCTTTTTTAAGGCTTTTGCCAAAGATTGTGTGTACTTGCCAGAGAGAGAGTGAGAGGAAAGGTAAGAAGTCACTCCCCACCCCCAGAGGGATGACCATGCCACAATCCCTTCTCCCCCATTCTCCTCTTGGGGTTTTGGGTACATATGCACACATGCCTCGTGTGATTTTCAAGTTGCCAGGACCAGAGTTCAAATAGCAGTCAGCCAGGTGGGATGTAGAGCCTTAATCAACATGCCACCTGCTGGACCTTCCAGTACCTTTTGATTTTTTTGGAGAGGTTTATTTTTTTGTTATAGGGCATGTGTGCTCACCAGAAAGACAGAGAGAGACAGAGAGACAGAAGCGAGAAATTGTTCCCCCGCCCCCCAGCCAAAGGGGGATGGCCATGCCACAATCCCTTCTCCTCCATTCTCCTCTTGGGATCTTGGGCATGCATGCACACATGCCTGGTGTGAGTTTAAGCCACTGGGACCATGACTCGAACTGCGGTCGACTACATGGGAGTCCAGCAACATAGCCATTATGCCAACTGCACCGTCTTTTTTTTTTTTTTTTTTAAAGGACCAGTATCTTCATTATCTTGTCTTTGGATCATCCCCTTCACCGCTACAACCACTTGGTTCCAGAAAAAGCCTCCATGCTCTCATGTGATCCTACCTCCTGGACATAAGTGATTGGTCCAAGGTGGACACCTGGCCTGAAACAGGCCAATCAGAATCCTTCCCTGGAACTTGTCTCACTCCAGAACTTTTCAAATGAAAGCTGAGACAGAAGGTCAAGAATTTCTAGCTGATGGAGGGAGTTGTCATTTGTCTGTGACCATATTTCCCACTGTGCAGAGGATGTGGTCTGCAGTGAGGAAGCATAGAACCGGCACACAGAAAGACGATGAGACAAGAGATGGCCTGAGACTCCATGCAGGGGTGCAGTTCTTGGATCCAGATGTTCTGAGGTCCTGCTGCTCCTTCACTCCCAAAAGATTTCCCTTTCCTTTGAACAAGTTTCACATGTAGCTAGTTTGAGTTACACTTCTGTTACTTGCAGCCCAAAGATCTGAGGCTAAGTTGAAGCCCTGCCCCAAAGTCACTTTCTGTGCATCACACTCCTAGTCCCCAGACTCTGTAGATCTCCTCCCGAGTGTGCTTCCACCCTACCTAGCTCATACAACCCAACAGAAACTTATGCAGTCATGCTTTCGTTGCTACCACCATTATTTTCCACTGTGTGCATATTGGATATAATACAGGCTTTGGAGTTACACCGATTTGGGTCCTAATCCTGTTGGTGCCATTTATTAGCTGTGTGACCTTGGAAAGGTTTCTAAATGTTTCTGGGTCTGATTTTTCTCATCTATAAAACAGGAGTGCTAATACCTCCTTTGAAAGGTTGTTGTTAGAATTCAATAAAATAATGTAGTAAAGTCATAAGCACTTAGTGAATGCTCAATGAATGGGGATTTTCTTTCATTTCACCCATTTTGCATGGAAGAAACTGAGGTTCAAGGGCTGAAAAGATTTTTACGTGTTAGAATCGATTCTGATCCTTAAGCTAGCCTCTAAAGTCTCTAAGTCACTAAAAAAAAAAGAAAAAGCCAGAAAAGTTCCACCCACACATAAAATGAATCCTTCAACATCATTAGTCAATAGGGTAATGCAATTCAAAACCACAATGAGATAATTCATACTCATTGGGATGACTGTAATAAAAAAGATATAATGAAGACATAGTAATAATAAGTGTCAGAGAAGATGAAAAGAAATTGGAGGGGCTAGCAGTTAGTGTGGTGGTTGACAGCACTGGACTCCCACATGGTTGACAGTGGTTTGAGTCCTGGGCCTAGCGGCTTCCTTTCTCACTTTCCCTCTCTCTCTCTCTCTCTCTGTCCCTCTCTAGTCAAATTAAAATAAATAAATAAAAAGTTAAATAAAATAATTAGATATAAAAAAGGAAATTGGAACCCACATACACTGTTGGTAGGCATGCAAAATGTTATGACTACCTTGAAAAATAGTTTAGTAGTTTCTCAAAAAGTTAAACATACAGGTACTTTATGACCCAGCAATTCTACTCCTAGGTATGTACTCAAGAGACCTGAAACATACATTCACACAGACTTGTATAAACGTTCATACCACCAGTAGTCATAATAGCCAAAAAGTAGATATCTGTGAACAGATGAATGAATAAGCAAAATGTAGATCCATCTAATGGAATATTATTTGACCACAAAAAAGAACAAATTATATATACATGTTAAAACATGGATGAACCTTGAAAATATTATGTCAATGAAAGAAGCCAAACACAAAGGGCCATGTATCATTTGACTCCATTTATATATAATGTCTAAAATATGCAAATTCAGAGACAGAAAGTAGGTTTGTGGGTTGCCAAGATCTGGAGGGGAAGAGAGAGAAACAGAATGACTGCTTATTTGTACAGAATTTCCTTCTGGTGTGATAAAACTGTTCTGGAATTAGACAGTGGGGATGGCTGCATGACCTTGTGAATATATTAAAAGTCACTGAGCTGTATGGTGAATTTTATGATGTGGGAATTACATCTCAATTTTAAAAAAATAATAAAAGAAAAGAAAGAAGGCTCATCCAGTTCACAGCCCTGTTAGACAACGTGGCTTCAACAGTCCCCTAGTGATGGAGACCTTGAGCACAACAGTAGAGGCAGAGCTCACAGTACTGACCTGCTCCCAGGATAGCTGGAGGTCCTGGTGGCCCTGGGGGTCCTGGTGGTCCAGGGGCACCAGGTCTTCCAAAGCCAGGTGGGCCAGGTAGGCCAGGAATACCAGGGGGTCCTTGGGGCCCAATGATAGTCTCCCCTTTCTGGCCCTGTCAAGGCAAGTGCATAGTAAGAGAGGGGAAAATGCACCATTAGCCACTAGAAGCCCCATCTACTCCTTTTATGAGGACCTCTGTAAGAAGTCAGTGAGTATCAGCTGCTATTATCCTCACTCCTGACCATAGTTCAAGGTGGCATGAGACTTCAAAGGCATCAGGGTGGTCTTTAGGTTGAAAGACACTACAGACCACCCCAGGGAATGCTGGAATTAGGCGGACACTTAGAAATCACTGAATCTAGCCTTTGTGTTTTAAAGATGAAGCAACTGAGGCCAGAGAAGGGACAGGTCTTGTCCAAGATCACAAAGCAAATTAATTAAAGGCATAGCTAGAAGTAGGACCCTGACTCTGCTGGGACCACAGCTCTGGGACCAGAGATTAGTGCTGTGGTAGCATTCTCATTGGAGACATACCTTAATTTTCTCTTTGTGGACTGGAAAAACATCTCATCCTAGGACTGTCTATCTAGGGGCTCCTTCTACGATGATATTTCAGAAGGACCAACTAGTCCCTCTAAAAGTATCTCCCTCACCTTCCATTCTGTTTCCACTATCTGATGTGGTTATCATTAATAACTCTGCATTGAGTGACTCTTCCACCATTTACATGAATAAAGCAGTGTTAGTGCTCTGGGAGTTATCTAAATGTAAATACATATTCTTGGTTGGTTCTCTTTTCCCTTAGGGCTCAACCAACTTCTCCACCAACCAGCAAGTAGAAGGGGAAAGCTGACCAGTCTCCAAGTCCCGCCTCTATCTGATAGTTCTACAACTGACCCTTGACCTTTTGACTGCCTAAGCACATTAGGGATCTTCAGGGAAAGCCAGATGACCTCAGGGAAGATGACTCAAAGAAGTCATTACTCACCACCACGCCTGGATTTCCAGGTAAGCCTGGAGGCCCCGACATAAAGAAGTTGCCGTTAGTTTCTCCTTTCTCTCCTTTGAACCCTCTGTCTCCATTCTCCCCCTAGAGAGGCAGAGAACACAGGACTACTTTAATCAGAGTGAGATGAACCCAGTCTCTGACATAGACCCAAGAAACTGGAAACACAGGCCGAACATTGAATGGAGAAATACTCACCTTCAAACTGTTCAGAAAATGTCTCAGGTAAATTGGGTCAACTGGGGGGCCTGAAAAAAGAAAGGTAAGATTCACAATCGTAATCTCAGAAATTTAAAAATGAGTCTCCGGGTCAGCATCCATGGTAATTTCCTGGCGGAAGTGACCGTTCACTGGTTTGCTAACAGAGTGGGCGCTGAGCTTGGTGGCACAATGGCTTCTAATCTGAGCCCAGCCACCTGGACATGTGGGATCTTGGGCAAGTCCCTGGCTCTCCTTGGGCTGACTTTGCATGTGAAACATGAATGATCAGGACTTCCAGTCTCTCGCGATGTGGTTCCTTCGTGCTCCCTCCAGAACTCTGTGGAACTTGTGGCCCAGGTGGTAATGTAAGTAATCTTAACTCTCTGGCTCAGTCGCATTTCTGAGGAACAAAAGCCCAAGGCCAGATCTACAATAAGAATCAGATACCTGGTGGTCCCTGTGCCCCCTGGTCGCCTTTTTCTCCTTTTGAGCCGGGAAGACCCCAGGATCCTTTCTCTCCTTTAACACCTGCAACCAAATACACATACACATTTTAAAAAAAGAATGAAAATCATCTTCATCGTATATGAAACCTTTCTGAGGCAAGTTTTTGAGTAACTCCTTTAGCAAAGTCCATGGAAACAAAGACCTATTGAAAAATCAGTGAGTATAAAATCTTTTTCTAAATGATGGGGAGGGTAGAGGTAGATACATCAGGCATGATGCCTGATCTTAAAAAAGCTCAGTCTTGTTGGGGAGATGGAGTAATGCAAGGCGTGGTGAAATATGCTCTACTACAGAGACACCAACAGTGTATGGGGCCCAGCAGAGGGTACAGTGAACTTTTATTGGGCAGCTTTGTAAATGGAGACTGAGGCCCAAGGTTGGAGCAATCTTTTAGTCTCCTCCCCATCACCAGTGCAGTATGGTGGCATGGGTGGGGAGAGGGACCTCCCAGGAGTGCCTGCATAGGATGCTCAGAGTGCCATGCATTCTACTTAGGAGTTGGGAGATGCATCTCCCTTCGGGACTAGCAAAACGCACTGCCTCTGCAGAACTGGAAGTATATCCCTGCCTTCTCCCCAGCTCCTATTTTTTTTTCAAGCTTATTTATTCATTGAGAGAAAGACAGGTACTCCTGACAGGGTCTCACCACACCACAATCCTCCTCTCCAGTCTCCCAACCAGCCAGGATCACCAGCATGCCCAGTGTATTCAAGCCAACCTAGGACCCAAACCAGGGCCTCCCACATGGCTCCAGTATCATGTTGTCGCACCCTATTGCCTGCATCACCATTCCCCCAGCACTTCAAATGTGAGGGGCTACTGAGAGAACCTTTAGGAGACCAGCATATTGGAAGGCAAGAGACTCCCTTTCCCCACCTGATAGACATGACAGACCCTGGACCTTCGACTTTATGGTCCCCAAGATGTGTGACATATCAGCTCACCCATGCTGTTGAGCCTAGAGATGGCCACGATATGCAGACAAGATGTGGGGGCTCAAGCTTCACCAAAGGGGAGACAGGAATGTGGGCACAGAGGGTGCCGGCTAGGGTTGGCAGAGAGTGAGCAAGGAGGCCTCACCAGTACTGGGGGGAGGCTGCATGAAACTAAGGACTTGGACAGAGGCCACAGACAGAGGTCATCACGTAAGAAGACAATGAGCTCCTCACCACCGGGCTGCTCACCTAAGGGAGCAGGAATAATGGCTCACAAGTAAGGAGGAGGACGACTGGCTCTTAGGGGCCATTGCATCCTCCCTGACACAGGGCGGAGAAACAACTGGAGATCGAGAAAGAAAATCCAGCTCCAGCCCCTGCTCCCCAAGGTCTACATCACACCAGGGGAAAGGTAAGCCTAGAACTGGATCTGAGCGTGGAGTCTGAAAACAGCTTAAACTTGCTAACCACAAGTGGCAGAAAACCACGAGGCCGGATATCATTAGCAAGACCACACCTGGCAGGCGTGGGTGACAGAGCTGAGCTAGAGGGGAGTACTGGGAGAAAAAAAAAAAAAACAAAAAACCCTTCCTCTGTTAAGCTGCAAGTATTCAGACACCTTGATAAAAAGGGGGACAAATGGCAAGAAAAGGTGCTTGGGGACTGAGGCACCAGTGACTGCTCACTTGCAGCCCCCGTTTCCTGGCCTGCCCCTCGCTGATGTGCTGTAGATAAGCTCCTACGTGGGGCTGCGAACATGCTGGCGTTTACTAATTGAACTAAGTCAGGCTTCTCACACGTCGCTCTGCACACACCTCATCCAGGAAGTTGCTAAAATGCAGGTTCTGATTTGGCAGGTCTAGGTGGGGCCTGAGGTTCTGCGTGTCTAACAAGTTCCCAGGAGATGCTGATGCCACTGGGCTAGGGACACCTTGAGGCAAGGGTCTTCTGATCGCCTACTGCCCTTCCCTGCATTGATGTGACTGGTCTTTGGTTAGATTCATCTCATGGATTCTAAAGGCCTGGGGACAGGAACAGTGCAGACCTGAGCTGTCTCAGCCTAGTGCAGGGCATCAAACCAAACAAGAGTAGGCATCAGTGAATGTTATGAACAAATGTAAAGTGAGTGAACAAGTGGAGTGCTTCCTGCTAATTAGGGGCTCATCCAAGACATGCAGACTAGACAGACGTGTGACAAAACCAAACACAGTGCCAACCCCAGAGCTTCGGCTCAGCTGCCATCCCTCCCACCACACGCAGTCAGACCTTCCTGACCACCTTGTCTGCATCCAACTGGGCAAATGGAAACTACCCTCCTCAGAGCTCTGGGTGGAGCCATGTCCCAGAGAAACATACAGTGAAGAAAGGAGTGTGTACCATGAAAAGTGATGAGTTCTGGATTGCCGGGATGAGTGGTTGTGCCAACCTGGAAAGAGAGAAAGGCCAGGTCAGACACTGCAACTCCGCCTTGGCGTTGATGCATAGGCAGCCACTGTCCTGAGGGAACGTGCCAGAAGAGGCAATGTCACAGAGACAGGCCTTCCTTTGGCTCTGGAATTCCCAGACACCTGAGCTCCCAGTAACCCTCCAAGCACAGGCATCCCAACTTTTCAACTGGGAGGCCCATCATGTCACTGGACTGGACTAGTGAGACCTGAGACCTATTGACCCCCCCCCCCAAAAACAACAAAAAC